GTTCTGGGAAAGCTCCCACCTCAGTGGAGCTAGCACCTGCTCCAGAAACCAAATAAGGATCGTCAACAATGTCCGTGGCCCTCTTCCAGGCTGTTGGGACCCCCATTCCCATCGGAGAAAAAAAACTCTTTAGGACTACATAGATGCTCCTTGTCCACATAGAGTACCTCCTTCTCGTTCTTCAAAGGGTTGAAGGAGTCGTCGGTGAATTTAGTACCATGCACTTTACATTGCTTGATTATCTCTTGCACTTCGCGCTTGCAACTTTCACGTGCCCTCTGCCAAGAGGCCACAGCGCTAAGCGTGTGGGAACATTCCCAGGCAGATAGGACTCTCTCGACTAGCTGCCCCGCACCCATCTCGCTGAGCACTTTCCTCTCAAGCTCCGAAAGCATCGCCTCGGGAAGGTGGGCTGCTGCGTCCTTGAGAGACTGATTGTGACAGAAGAGATGGTACATCAGCCCATCAATGCCGGTCTTCTGGGCCAAGTCACGCTCGAGCCGCACATCCTCAGAGGGCGTGTTGAGATCTATGACACGCACCTCGCCATTCTTCACCTGACCGATGGGAGCGCGAAGCTCCTCAATGCCAGCAGCACCGACGAGACCATTCAGCTCGCCCGCGAGATCCTTTAACCGCAACGCGTCACCTTACTTGGCTTTGCAGGGGACAAAGCTTTAATCCTTTTAGGTTCCAAAACCTAAGTTTAAACGAACATGAGGTGCAAAGCTACCTACCCAACAACTAAGTTGCCGTTCCCGCCAAGCTCCCGCAAAACCTCGTCAAAGCATGTCAGCGCTGCCGCGCGAGGAACACCCACGTTCAACATAGCAGTTGCCCACTCAGTGCGCGAGACCTCCGTGTCCCCGTCGATGCCTCCAGCAGCCTCTGGGGGGACTGAACTTTTCATCTCCTCAAAGCCTTCAAAAGCCATACTCTTCATCTTCGGCTCGTCATCATCACTTACAACGTCTGGCCCTTCTTCTGGGAAGCCGAAGAATGCATCCAAGCTAAAACCATCGGCCAGAACCATCCGTGCGGCAGCGCTTGCATCTGAGAAGACATAGTCGAGGAACTCGTCGACGGTGAGCTTTCCGTTTGAATCACGGTCCAAGGCCTCGAAAAGCTGCTTGCACTCTTCTGGGGCCAAACCAGCTCCACCTTCACCACCTAGGTGACTGAGGACCCCCACAAGCTCCTCCTCCGAAAGCTTGCCATCTCCATTCTTGTCAAAGCGCTTGAAAGATAATTTCAATTGATTTGCTCCATCTACATCGAAATTCAAGGGCAACAAAGAATAAGGCTTCATGTTCCATCTCCCGTTGGGCCACTTGACGTTGAGTCGATTCCCAGTGGTCTTTCCAGAATCGTCCTCGTCGTAGTAGACGCTCATAACATAACCCATGTGTCCTTGTGGTATGTCATCATCAGACTTGGTCCACTGCACCCGATCCCCCTTCTGGAATCTGAACTTCTCAACTTCATCCGTCCTCATGCTCCAGTGCAGTTGAGGCCACTGAATGGACAGTTTGTTGTCATCCAAACGGACCACTTCGCCGATATCCCCACGTCCAATGTCCTCATCCCACCGGACCCAAGTGACGAGGTGCCCAGGTTGGATTCGGCACAGAGTCAACTCCTCAGGGCCTAAATCCAAGAGGGTCGAGGGGTGAGGATTGAAGGTTGTGGTTTGAGGCTTTAGGCTTTGGGGTTGTAGGTTTGGGCCTGATTTGGGGTTCGGTCCTCCGGGCGGAACTTCCACCGCCCTGCAGGAAATTGCACGCGCAAGCTGCCATCTGCCACCTTGATCCCCACCACCTGCCCAAGGTCTAAATTCTTGTTTACCATCAAATTCAACAACAGCCCAATGTCTATTGTTTTTTCGACAACACAACTTTGGCCGAGGTCCCTCTTCTTCACATCTTCATCCTAGCTGCTTTTGTTAGGAAATGTTAGGAAGCTCTGCCGAAAAGAGTAGGACCCCACCTGCCCCAGGTCTTTCTTCTTCACATCCTCATTCCCCTTGTCCCAGCGCACAAAGGCGCCCAGCTGGATGTCGAAAGGGATCAACGTGTCGGGTTTGAAACTCCACGTGCCTTTGGCAAAGGCCACCTTCACTTTGCCGGAGTCGTTGATTTCTCCTGTTGCCTTTCCAAGCTCGCCAGCTTCAATGTCTTCATCGCTTTCCTCAGCTGATGGGTACCCCAGGGAGAAAACCAAAAGTTTTGCCTTTGGTAGCGTTTAAGTTTCCATAATGTTTTTGCGAAACGCTCAAAAAAATACCCACCCAACGAAGTTTCAGACCAGCGCACGTAGGAGCCAGGCTGCACATTGCACAAGACCAAATCCCGCGGTCTGAACTTCCATTTTCCGTTGGGGAACTGCACCTTGACGTTGCTGGGTCTTTCGACAGGGGACCCCAAAGCTAGGTTTTTGAAAGGGTCTTAATTTAAGGTTGTTGAAATAGGGTTCAGGGCTTAAGGTTTGGGGTTCAG